GTCCCGAGCTGTCGCAAGCCGTTGCAATGCACCTGTCGCAGAAGTTGAAGAAAGTTCAACTTTTGCGACATGCGACACGCGACATACACAAATGTAGTACAGTTGCGACCCTGGGTGCACGTGCACACATAGCACAGGTCTGCTCTCGATATAACAACTCTCACTTGCACATAAACCTCGCTAGTACATAAAAAAATCAAATCCCGCGCCGAAACAGCATCACTCCCATACAAATTTTGTTCTACACAACGTAATCCTACATAACATAAACCTCGACATAACACATGCTACGGCGGTCCCCGACGTGCGAACTCTCGATACAACATAAATTCACTTGCACGGTACGATCAAGCGGTAGCTGTAGCTAGGCAGTTTAGGCCAGTTTAGTCCTACATAACGTAAACCTCGGCATAACGCACCCTACGGCGCAGTCCCCGACGTGTGCACTCTCGATACAACGTAGATTCACGTGCGTGGTACAATCAAGCTGTAGCCGTAGCTAGCCAGTTTAGTCTTATTGTGCATATATTCTGCGGCATTGATGGTATCTGATGTCGATGGTGGTACAGTGTGTATATGTTTGCACGGTTAAACCCGCCTTGTAATACCCTTCATTTTGAGGTGCATCTTGTATTTTACACACGGTTTTCTACATAACATAACTCTCGATATAACATACTTTTTGCGTGGTCCCAGAGATTACGTTATATGGAGAGTAGACCTGTACTACTTGTGCGCATGAGGCCGTCGCAAACATGCAGAATATTGTGAACCGTGTGTCGCTGCCGCAGCTCGTCGCATGTGTCGCAAGTCGCATCGCAGAAAGTTGTATTGTGACTCGGCCTTTAGTTTCAAATTCCAAATAATTTCTCGATCGACGCATTCTCTGTGTATACTCAAATGTGGCCGGTTCTCCACGGGACCGAAGTGGATCGACAGCGACATGTCTCACCTTGACGAAGAATCAGATCATACTCGTCTCAGCAACATATGAGCGACTTCAAGCACCTAAAAATATATCGATATATTGGTCCTTCATCCTCAAAGAGTTAAATATTATTTTACTCTCATCATCAGTGGATAATTAGATGACGTGGAGGAGTTTCTACGCATCTTTTGTACGTCGTTTTCGAGCAGTGAAATGTTCCCGAGTACGGAACTTGTGTGTTTGCCGTCATTGCCAAGGTTACGATCGCAAACACGCCACATTCCCGCGCTATGCCTTGTTATTTTGAACATTTGTACCGAAATTAAAAACCCCCGCGGAAAATCGATGTTTCTCGTACCAAATTTGGATGCGAAAAATCTTTCTGCACCCGATGACGCAAAATCTCCATACAAAACATGATGGTGATAATCAGAAGTCTGTGTTTCACCGACATTTGTCGCGCACGATATGCTCGACAATTACAGGTCTTTGAAGCTGTGTGTATTCGTCTGTATAAGTCAGTTCTGTGTAGGCATAAGAAGCATGTAGTAGCACTCAAGTTATTATTCGCAAATTCACATATAGTCGTGAGTCAGTTAAGTGTCAAGTAAAGTCGGCGGAATAGCGCGAGCTCCGGTGTGGGGAGCAAACCCTTTCTTAGGTTCATATATTGTTTATTTTTGTGTTAACGTATATGGCTCATAACTAATATCTCAAGTCGTTGTTCACGCTCCTTTTTTTGAGCCCTTTTTTGTATAATATTATTGTATCACTCCAAAAATCATTTTTTCCTCTGCTACACACTATTATTCTTTAGTCACAAAAATCCACTGAAGAGAGTGACAAGAAAATCGAGTTTGATTAAACCTCTTTTAGACTTCTTTGCTGTGCGGCATGACCACGGAACTAATATTATTCATTGCAATCATTAAATGGGCCGCGATCAGCTAAAACATGTCTTTGGGGTTTCGTAAAAAAGTTGGGAAATGACGAAATGAAAAAAATGTTTTTTGGAGCGCGTTCACTCTGCAATTCATTCATTTTGTGGCAATCATCTTCTCAAATTTTGTTCAAACACTTGTTTGGCGGTCTAGTTCAAGTAGCTGGCGAGAAAAGACTGACAATGTCCGCATCTAGTGATACTAGAGCAGCTCGCAGGGCCAGACGATCGCTGTGCATGGCCCAGGTTTGTTCAGGTGCCTGCAAGTCCGTGGCGGCGGGTCTGCAGAGCGCCGCTGACAATTTGTTGGGATCTCAGTAATGTTGATGTCGACAGCGAAGCGGAATCGTCTCCGTCGTCTCCAGTAGCGAAGAGGCACAAGTTGTGGGCTAGGACATAATCATTAGGCGGCGAACCGGCTGCCTCACGACGTTACTTGCGTTCAGCTCTCATGAGTCGTCTGATGCAGTCTCAGACGCGCAGGCTACGATCGAAAGTGTCACTGCCAGAATCGAAAGAGTATGCAAGTGCGACGCCGCCCAGAGCATCGTGTTACTTTCCAGGAAGAACTTGGGCCATGCCTTTAAACTGATGTCGTTGACATGCTCAAGTCTGTGTCAACATCTTTAGTTCCGTTGTATTGTGCTCCGCCGCAAAAGCCACTAAGTAATAGTTGGTCTCTTTGTGTCAGACTGTGCGAAAACTGTCATTTTCTATTTCAAAGTACGTATTTTGAAAGCGGTGTTTGGGGCACTTGTAGACTACTTTTCTGCCTTGTACTTGGTCCGTTTCATCGCAATTGTCGCTTATCTATCGCAACTAAGAACAGGAGTTATTTTACCGCTCTGTAAAATTTCCAATACGCATAGTGAAGAAGCATGATACAGGATTCCTGTCCGCCACAAGAAAGAAATTCAGTGATGGAATCTGATGAAGGAAGTCGAAGAAAGGAAGCAAGGTTACAAAAAATGTACAAAAAGAAAACAGCGTTGGAGCGCCTTCTTGCACTCACGCTTTAGTTTATCCGACTCTGGCTCTGTATCACTCGAGCTGATGCCACTTGAGCTAACATTCGCTGGTGTGTATAGCGGCTCGCTTTTGCTTTCTCCGCTTGGCGTATGGCAGGGATGGGAAAGGAACAGTCGTGGTTGTCACTTTGGCACTTGGAGGAACGAGGGCAGCGTGACCCTTCTGTCACTACAGTACTGTGTGTTCAACAATGTTTTTGAATCAGGCACACATCCCTCTCCAGACATCTGTCATACGCTCTGCTGGATACGCTGACCACGACTCTTGTACTGCCGCTGCCAGGTCGGACAATGTCTTATTTGCCACCATCTCGCCATCAGTTTGCAGGCTTGCAAAGAATACTAGGTCATTGCAGTTCAAACGTGGCGACTGCGCTGGCTGGCCTGGCCGTGACTGTCACGCTCTCCAGGTCAGGATGTCGATTTCCCCTGCTACAGTTCCGGTCTTTGAGCTGCGCTTGGCTTTTCGCTGCAGTGAATGTGCGCATTCACTGCAGTGCATTCACTGCAGCGAAAAGTTTCCCACTTTCCCATCAAAATTGTATGAATCGCGATACCACTGGCGCTAGTCGCGAACGTTTTTTTCTTTCTGGTCTCCTTTGATCTTGCCATCACAACCTCCCAAACGAATGTGAGTTAGATATCGAGATCGGACTGGGTTTTACCTGTCAAAAGGTGCGTGGGAGATAAGCGACAATTGCGATGAAACGGACCAAGTATCACCTTCAAGAGGTCAAATAAGGTCCCAAGAACTGTTTTCTGGAGGAAAACAAAATTTGAAAAATTTCACTCTAAGACATGTTTTAGCTGGTTGTGGCCCAAATTATTGTCTCCTCGTCGCTTAATTATAATAATAATTATAATAATTATTAGGGCTGAAACGATTATACCGACTAATCGAGTACTCGTTTGATAACTCTAACGATCGAGCAATCGTTTAGATTACCGATTACGATTATTTTACGTTTTTTAAATTTGTGTCCAGAAGGTACTGTAAACCCTCGTTTTGTGAAGTTAGAATCAGTTTCCGCTGGGAGTATGCAGTTGCCAGGGGTATGGTTCATGTTCTGAGGTTAAATTGACTTCAAAACTGCCATGTTTCGGAGCTACCCTTTCACTAATGCAGATTTGTTGGTATTATGAAGGCATAGTTAGTGGAAAGAGAGGCCGTGATCGTTTGGTCGGATCCAGATCCAGATCCATTGGATCCACTGGATCTGCAATGATCGATTGGTCGAATCCAGATCCAGATCCTCCGGATTTGGATCCGAGCAACCCTGCCCCTGGTGCAGGGTTGACTGGATCCATCGGATCCAAATGTGACCTTTGTGCGTATATGGCAGGTAAAAATCATTTTTCTACTCATTGTCGTACGTCTAGTGGACTTTTGTTGACTTTTCCTACGCCGCACGCGATCAGTACGACTTTTGCCTTTTTTGGGTGACCTGTCAGCGCCATTTTTTACTTCGTCAACATGGCAACAGCCAAGGACCGCAAAAAAGTATTCAGTTGATTCTGAAGGATCCGACGGATCTGAGATTTGGATCTGGATCTGGATCCGACCAAACGATCATAGCCAGAGTAATGTTTGCACAGAATTATGACTCTGATTATAATCGAGTACTCGATCGTTAAGCTAAAGAGTAATCGATACGTGAAAATCCACGATCGTTTCAGCCCTAATAATTATTAATTATACAACAGAGAAAGACCAAGGAACTACAAGTTACGCTATACTGTCCACTAACACCACCAGTTACTAAACAATCAGCCCATGCGGTAACATTGCACGACACTGACCGACGGTACTGACGTTCTACAACTAACTGGCTAACAGCTCTAGCACATCTTGGATGCACACTCCAACAGCCTCATAGCCAGCAATCGCATGTCATCACGTACATTCAAAATCAACATAATTTTGCTATAAATCGACCTTTTTTCAGCATCACTTTTCAACGAGGACGAAGCAAAGTCGGCCGATCGAAGCTTAGAGGAAGTAAATCACCCCCTCCACTTCACCATCACGATACTGACATAGATACGAGACGAAACAACTAAAAAATGCACAAGAATCCGGATCCAAACTGCTAACCAGTGTACTTACCAGTGCAAGAAGGTGCAGTTCCATTATATCCCGTTTGGCATTCACATTTGTAACTCCCAACTGTGTTGGTGCAACTGGTACTCTTGTCTTTGCACATAGTCAAGCATTCATCGAAATCTGCAAAAGGGCAAACATGGATTATTTGAGAAATACAAGAACGAAAGGCGAGAGACAGTCAGAAGGCTACATCTCTTAGTTCTCAAGCATTTGTTTTGTCCACATTGCCCTTAGAAATCACACCTAATATCTCCTCGTCGGTCACATCCTAGATTTTTCAAAATTGAACTCGGAAAAGAAAAAGAAAAAATTCAGAGTATACAATGACAAAACAACAGGGAGAGTAGGGGCTGCAAAGCAAGCCTGTGCTGGTGAGGCAAGCCCACAACACCGACCTATGAGAGAGAGAGAGAGAGAGAGAGAGAGAGAGAGAGAGAGAGAGAGAGAGAGAGAGAGAGAGAGAGAAATAGAGAGAGAGAGAGAGAGAGAGAGAGAGAGAGAGAGAGTGAAAGTGAGAGAGAGAGAGGGGGTGGTGGGGGTGGAGAGAGAACAAGAAGAGAGAAAAATAGATTCAAAGGCAGTTCAGATGCAGTGAACATGATGCAATGCTTGGGGGGGGGGGAGCTTCAGGATGGTAATAGTTCTGAACTGTTAGAGGGAGTCTGTGGCCCAAAGCCACTGGCTTCTGCGAAGATGGTAGTGGACGTTCACTTTGAAGGATTGTAGGCCCTTAGGAGGTGGTGGTTTGGTGAAGAGGGAGGATGGCAGCGCGTTCCAGGTGTTGATGTTGTTGTATGGAAAGGGGCGTCTTAGGTAGTTAGGAGCGCCAGGAGGGAGAACATTTTCCAGTTGGAAGGAGTGTGGAGTAAACTGTTGGCATTGTCTCCGGGTTACAGGTGCGGCATGGTGGACGACGAGAGGGGGGACAATGGATCTCAGCAGAGGAGGACCTGGTTGGCCCAGTAGCTTGTAGACGAAAGTCAGTGCTGCCACTGTCCGTCGGGCCTCTAGGCTCTGTTGCAAGAGGTTGGGTCCCAGGATGTGGAGGGCACGCCTCTGCACTCTGTTATGGTGTTCAAGGTTAGTGGGAGCAGCTCCCATCCAGACAAGGGGAGCGTACTCGAGCAGGGGCCGGACGAAGCCGTGATACACGGCCAGCATGCCACGGCAGTCCAGAACACGAGCCTCAGTTTCAGACAGTTGGACTGAGTTTTCAGCATCCGTCGGAACACCACCGTCCTTCAAGGATTAAAGGCACAGATGCAGCTTCTAAGGCGGGGGGGGGGGGAAGGAGTCTATCAGGTTTTTTTTCAGCATGATCCAGAAACTTTTGAAGCAGCACATGCATTACTTCGTCCAGAATACTGATCTCACTCGCAGTTTTTCGCAATGTGACGGCAGAAGAATCAAGATCACAGAAGAGATCACGGAGAAGCTGATCAAAATACACAAATGCTCCTGGGTCGCCTATCAGGTGAGAAACTGGTTGGAAAACTGAAATGAACAAAGAGGGATTTATTCTTCTGATATGGTGTGTGGATGGTGCGGAGTTCTAGAAGCCATGAGGCCTCACCGCTACATTTTATTTTTTTTGTTTTTTTCTTATTTTTACCAGGGAATTCCCAACAGGCGTCATCATCTTCTTACAGGAACCTTAAGAAAGTCTTGATGGATGAACAAAATTCAGCAGGTGAATTAGAAAGGCGGTAAGCAGGTGGCAGTGCATTCCACCGGTCAGCGCCTACGTAAGAAATTGCACTGAAACCATAGCGTGTGCTAGCAGGGGGTAAAACAAGCGCGGCAGACACCTGACCACAGGTAAGGGCAGCAGTGTGAGCACCGTGAGCACGAAGAGTAAAGCGGTCTCATAGGAGAGAGCAGGCAAGGCCATTCAAGCAGTGATACACAAATACATAGGTCTTGGAATTGAGGCGTTGTTCAAGGGTGTATACATTGGTGTTACTGTAGAGAAGGGCAGTTGGAGTCATTCTATCCAAGGAAAAAAAATTATCTTTAGCGCTAAGCGGTTGGCAGAAAGAAGTTTGTTATAAAGAGCTTGCGACAAACAGTGTACGTATGCGGTGCTGTCACACTCAAGTGTAGACTGAATTATAGAGAGGTAGAACAGTTGCTTGCCAAGATACTGATATTCTGTTTTGCATGCACAAAGGCTCCTACTTTCTTGTTAAAAGATGTACACACCGCTGGTATTTGGTCGGAAAAGGATAGATGCTCGTCAACTACTTCAAGTAATATTCCTAAATAGCCGGCGGAAGCAGAGGGGGCAATGGGGGTGTCACGACAGAGAATTGCTGTACCAGGTGGCTGCTCTTTACCAGGGCGGCAAAGTATTAAAGCCTGGGTCTTAGATGGATTCAATAAAAGTCCTTTCCTTTCAAGATAGCCATCGAGAGCAGCGAAGTCCTCGCTCAGTCGAGCAGTTCCTGTTTGACAAGAATGGCTACGGATATGGAAGGTTATAACATCTGCAAAGAGTTTGTTAGATGAATGCCTGAAGCATTGTGGTGCATCGCGGGTGTATATACAAAAGAGCAGTGGCCCAAGGACAGAGCCTTGAGGGACACGTCTTGTGCATGGACGGGCATCACCGAGTGCCTGTCCTACTCGAACTCTCTGAATGCGGTTTGTTAGGTGGCTTGCAAACCATGCAAGGGCGGTGTCAGCTACATCAAGCTTATCATATTAAAGCTCTGTCACAATATCACTGGTCTCCAATGCCAGTGGTCCATGGATTTGCACAACAGGGATGAGCGATCATAGTCTGACTGTGCGACACAGTAGGTGGCGCTCGGTGTGAGAAGTGACTTTTTTTGATGTGTGGTGGTGCACCTGTTCACCTCATTTGAAGGCATCCTTGGCATGTTGGTCAAACTCACCTACAGCCACCAATCTGGCAGTCACACTGCACGAGCAAGAGATGAAGGCGATCGTCAAAACCTGGCGTACGGAGTGAAAAAAATATAGGCAGTGCTGGGTTGAACACTGATTCACATCTGGAAGTGGTTAAAAATCACCATGATGATTTCGGAAAGCGACTCATATTTGGTGGCACATGAATACATGTCACTGTATCCACGCTATTTACCAATAATGTGTGTTGCAAAGAGAGGAGGGAGGGGAGGGGGGGGGGGTGGCACTGAAAGCAAAAGCAGCACTTATTTTGTACTTGGTCCGCGTCAGCGATATTGTCGCTTATCTGTCAGCTTTGTTTATATGTCGCCAATGCTTACTTGGCAGCCCATTTCATCCCAATTTTGGTTAGCAAGTTAATTTGCTAGTACCTGAAAGGTCTAGCTAGAGTTCGAGTGGATTTCAAGAGCGACAGGTGGGCGATTCTGGTTGATACAGCGCCGCATCAAAATAGATTATCTTTTTACGCTGTTCAGGCAAGTGCAGCGCAAGCCACAAGAAAGTAATCGGCTACTCGGAATCAGCTCCATTTTGCTGAACGGCCGAGATCGCTCACCTCAGGGATCGCTTATCAAGCTGAGATTGCAGCTCCCTTACCTCCAGCTCAACGTTCGGAGTATCCAGCGCATCGTGGAGATTTGCAAGTACTGTACGCGTCGTCGTCGTTCAAAATAAAATCTTGCACAGAACGGCGTCTGATTTGAACCATACAGGCTGTCGTGCTGCCCACGCGAAGTCCTATAGAGAAGGCAACCGTCACGATCGACTTCTCTTTAGAAAATAGCCAGGCAGCGGAGAGGAAGAGAGATGAGCTTGCAAAAGCAAGAGAGTCGATCCCGAGCAAAAATATTTGTCGCCAGCGACGAGAGCAGCGACGAGGAGGACCGAAAAAAGTAGGAACCCTTCCTTGGACAATAAATTCCTCGCAGCTAGTTGTCATTCTATACCTTACCGTCCATCGTACCAAGTTTTATCACTTCAAGTGCACGCGTTCATGTCCAAAGTCTAAGTTCAAATTGTCGAAAGATAAGCAACAATATTGCTGACGCGGACCAAGTAAATGTTTTTTTCACCTCCAAAGTGGTTCGAGTAACTTCTTCCGGACTAGAAAATTAATTCTGGAATTACACTCCCTAAAAAAAGATCTAAGCACACTGACTTGCTGGCAGCACTAAAACTGTTTAGAGCATGAATACATGTACTACATTGGTCTCGTAAAAAATCAAGTCTTTTTTCGCGCTTTTTGGTGTAAATGTACTCGTGGACGCCAAGATTCTCCTGAAAGTGGGCCCCAGCTCGCTTTCACTTTTCAGCCACTTTCAAGCACTTTTCTCGTTCACAGGTAAAACGCCATAGCACCGTTCCGGTGCAAGTGGATTTGCCTGTCGTGTGAATACCCTATTAGGGCTTGCTGTTTAGAAAAGTAGACTTCAGAAACAGAGTTGGAAGAGTATTCCATAGGGATTACAGAAAAAATTCATTTATGGCCAAAAACTAGCAGTCCATCTTGTTATGAATGGACTATAATGTAATTGCTACCAACAAACGAGACAGACAAAGGAAGCACATTCACAAGCTCAATGTTGTTCATCAGTCTCAACCACCAGCACATGACCAGTGTAGATTGCTATGATGCACTCATCTTACTACAGTGCTCTGAGAAAATCTATGTACAGTATATCACACCATGAGTATGTCATATCCGTTTATCTGCACAGCTTGCTAATAGCACAAGTCACTCAGCTGTTGATCGTGCTGCCGTCGAACCTGTTGCGGCGGATGTTGCCCATCCTATTGATTCAGTACATATCAGACTGGGGTGTAGTTGCTGCTGATGTTGCCCATCCTATTGATTCAGTACATATCAGACTGGTGTGGAGTTGCTGCTGATGTTGCTACTGCTCTTGCTACACTATTGCTGGTGGCCCTGTGCTTGCATCAAGACTTGGTGGACTCAAGGGTCACTATCCCAGTATGTCATCTTCTTCCACAATGGTATGAAGAAGATGCTAACAATTTGCTGCCCAAACCGAAGTTTGGACAGTCTAGACTAGATATGAGAAGTCTTGATATTTCGGTTTTTGCAATTCCTCACTTTACCTGTACCTATCCCTCTAAGGTTAGGGTTAGGGCTAGGGTTTATCGGGTGTTAGCGGCCGTCGTGAGTTCCCTTTGGGAACGGATACAATAATTTACTTTTTTTACTTTTTACTTATCCTCTAAATCCTGTATAGTGTAAATATCATTGTTTTTTTGCTTTTCTGAACCTCATAGACCTCTGGGATCAGGATAGAAATCAATATACCATACTGAATTTTTGAAAACCTCTATTTGGACTGTTTTTGACGGGGGTGGGAGGGGGGGGCAGTGTCAAATGCATGCACGTTAAAGACATTCAAAGGAGTTACACGCTTACCAATGCAGTTGGTACCATTAAACCTGTATCCCATGTTACATGTACATGTCAAACTTCCCATAGTGTTCTGGCACTGAGAAACATGACTGCCAGAACACTGGGTCGAACACTCATTCACGTCTGTAGCAAAAAGAAGGAATGATTTTCTTAGAAGAACAGGCAAGCTAATGAATGGTGGCCAAAGCAATATTGTCCAACTGCTGAGGAAGTCCGGCTTAGGGTGAAAAGCACTTTATTCCTGTAGTGATGCAAAAGACGTTACTTGAGTAATGTTATGTTATGTTAGCTTTATTTTACTTCACCATATGTACAGGCATTGCTGCCTTCTTGCTGTGGATCATTAATGATGCCACAGCTCCTAGGCTATGATGAAAATTAAAAAAGATTGATATAAATGTGGTATAGCAGTTGGTACATCTAAAAAAGAACTGTCCAAGACCAGTATCAATATGGTGTGCATGTCGAAGTATCACAATCACAGTTTGTCTACAAAACAAGGTATTGCGGGCAGAGATGTGAAAACTACACACAGAACTTTATCATGCAAAACAGCAGACAATGCGCTGCAGCTCCCAGTTGAAACAACCGCATGCACGATCAGCACGCCTACAAATATGCACATTGGAGGGTAAACCACCACGTTACAACGACAATGTCAGACTCTGCCAATGCTAGCCCTGCCAGCTGCTTGCACATAACCAGCTCCACCACCACCAACCATGCCTCTCTTGTCATCAAAACTGTGATCAGCCCAATAACCTCGTTCAGCATTGACTGACTACCAAGCCCTTTAAAAATGACAGCATTCCTGGCAGAATCTTGACACAGTGTGCAATTAACTTTACGTGTGTGTGTGTGTGTGTGTGTGTACTGTGTGTATATGTTTGTGTGTGTGTGGACTGTGTGTGTGGACTGTGTGTGTGTATGTTTGTGTGTGTGTGTGTGTGTGTGTACTCTGTGTGTGTGTGTACGTATGTGTGTGTATGTATGTGTGTGTGTGCTTGTGCGCGTGTGTGTGTATATTTGTGCGTGTGTGTTATCTCGGTTGTCATGTTACGCCAGACGCCCGGAGCTCATTTGATGTATCTCGGCAAGTTGCTGCTGCATCGGGTGCGTTCTGTACACTGCCGGAGTCGGTTTCGACAGTGATGACTTCAGCATCGCCATCAAGCGCATTGTGTATGGAGTGACTGTCCTGGCGGTCCTTCTTTATGGATCTGAGAGTTGGACCATCAGGCAGCGTGATGTCCGTCGCCTGGAGTCCTTTCACCTGCAGTGCGTGCGCTCCATCCTGAAGATAAATCGTGGCCGGCAGATCGAGGAGCACATCTCCTCTCTCCAGGTTCGCAGGATGTGGGGCGGTATGGAGGAGATCGCTAGTTAGAGTCCGCCGACTTCGATGGCTTGGCCACGTGTCCTGCATGCAAGATCGGATCCCTCGTCAGCTGCTGTATGGCGCGTTACCCTCCAAACGTCCACCGCATGGACCCCGCAAGCGCTGGAAGGACTCCGCGAAGTGCGACTTGATGGCTGTTGGCGTTCCTCTGGAGCAGCTTTGTGACATCGTCCAAGATCGACAGGGATGGTGGGTCACCTGCCGTGATGCTGTCGATGCTATTGTCCAGTCCGACATGGAGCCTGTGGCGAAGCCCCTCATCTGTGGCACTTGTGCGCGCAGTTTTCGTCGGCCGCAGGATATTGCGAGGCACAAGTGTAACGCTGTTCGAGCGGCCCGCGCGCGCTGAGTATGGCGTTCCCCGCCCGGTGGACAACACGTCTGCTGGTCTGCCCCGTATGGGGCCACATAGCCAGTCATGGCAGTTGTAGAAGGAAGGAAGGAAGGAAGGAAGGTGTGTGTGTGTGTGTGTGTGTGTGTGTGTGTGTGTGTGTGTGTGTGTGTGTGTGTGTGTGTGTGTGCGTGTGTGTATGTTTGTGTGTACATGTATGTGTATGTGTGTGGGGGGGGGGGATACTTGTTGGTAATCTAGACCCGACGGTGTTCCAGAGGTACAAAGGACATGTATATTACCGTACATACATACCTGTACAAGCCGGGAGAGGTGTCCACATTCCATTATATTGACATGTTATTGTGTCAATGGAACTCGTACTAGCATCCACAGTAAAGCCAGCACGACATGAAATTCCCAGAACAGTTCCAGAGGCATTGGAGAATGTAGCATTGAAATCATGACCAAGAGAGGAATCTAATACCGGACAGGATGCTGAAATCACAAGAATGAGAATTGTTCACTTTTTATTGGCTTCAGAAGAAATGTAAGTATACAGGACTACCGCAAAACCGATCAGAGGAATTTATATATTGGATGAAGTGGTGCTGAGGCTTCTCTTTGTCATTGAAATCCCAGAGCAGAATTGTCTCACTCTGTCCCTCTGCCCCTTTGGGTGCTAAGGATACAGCTAGAGTTGGCGGTGCTGCTTGAGCGTGTCCATCATTGCATAACCAAAAGAAATCTGATAAGCTCAATTGACTATACACAAACTGTACCCTTACCATACACTGCACACTTCTATTTTCATTATTCTATTAGCTTGGAGAGACTCCCATGGTATGCATACATTTACCTCGGGAGAATCCGTAAATAAATGTAATAAACAATACAATACAAAACTTCGAAGTAAAAAAATCATGATGGATGATGGTGCAAGTTTATAGCTGTGGCACTCATGGTATCAGTGCTACGTATAGGGATGCAGCAGATGTGGTGTCAGTGGAGAGTTGGGAGGGTGAAGTGTAGACTCAGCTATGTCATATCATGCCTAAGCAGAACAGTTCTCTGCACAAGAAAGTCTCTCGTGTACAGATCACCAATTGCAGGATAATCTCGCTCCTCTGCAAAGTTCGGGAGAGGATTATCCACCAACGCCTCTAAACGCACATCTAGCTCCACCACCTGGCCGACCAATCTAGATTTCGATCTAAAGACAGCACTGAACTTCAGCTCTCCCGCCTAGTTCACCACATCTTTGCCGGCCGAGATGCCGGTCAGGCAGTGTCGGCGTTCTTCTTTCATTGGTCAAAGGCTTTTGACCGTGTCTGGCGTGCTGACCTCCTGGCCAAACTCGAGCACCTTGGTGTCCGTGGCATTGCCCTGAACTTGTTCACACGCTACGCGACTCGCCGCCGTCAATGCGTCAAGGTTGGTTCCGCTTTGTGGTCGTGTGAATCCATTCCAGCTGGAGTACCCTAGGGCTCTGTCCTAGGGCGTCTTGGGTTCCTGGTGTACACGATCGACCTCCCCCAGCATGTGCAGACTTGCGCACCAAATGCAGTCAGTTTGCCGATGACACGGCACCGATTGCAACACACTACACGAGGGATCTATCTCCTGCAATCCTCCAACGTGCCGATTAGCAAGATGATGGTTGAAGGATTGTCGTCATCTCCTTGTCAACACCACGAAACGTATCGTCCTTTCCTTCCTACCCCACCACAGCATTCATATCACACTCCACGTGACTCTCCAGCTGTAGGCCCATCAACATAGGCACCTTGGAGTTACACTGCAAGAGGATATGCGACGGACCCAACACATTATGCAAGCTGCCAGCAAAGCCAAAAAAATTACATCAACTCCACAGGACACGTGGCACACTGAACGCTTGCAGCCTATTAATATTGTATGGGGTTGGGTGGTATGGTGTGGTATGGGGTGGTGTCGGGTCGGGTGGGGTGGGATGGGGTCAGGTGGGGTGGTGTGGTGTGGTGTGGTGTGGGGTCGGGTGGTGTGGGGAGAGGGTGTGGTGTGGGGCGAATCAAATCTACTTTACGGTATTATATGTTCGGCACAATATGAGAATTTGCGCTATCTGGAGAATGCGCGCGAGAGAGCTTCTGCTAAACTTCTGGGAGCACAAGCGGTACCGAAGTACGGGTGGTACAAAATTCACATGCGCCGTTCGTGCAATCTGTGGATTTCTCTCAAAATCTAAAGGGCATAGCGAATTCATGTGGAGCGCAGTCTGTGGGTGTAATCTGTGGATTTCTCTCACAATCATGAAGAGAACAGTGAACCAGTGTGGTGTCAATCTGTGGCCCGATTTCGCTGAAAACGGATTCGCTGCGCTCTTCATGTTTATTCAAAGAAATCCACACATTGTGCCCACACAATGTGTCCCACATGGATTCGCTGTGTTCCTTTTTTTCATGGAACTCAGGCCACAGGTTGCGCCACACACGGATTCGTTGTGCTCTCCATGATTTTCAACGAAATCCACAGATTGCCCCCATATGGATTCGCTCTGCTCTTCATGATTTTCAACGAAATCCACAGATTGGACTCGCCGACTGGGCCCACATGAATTCGCTGCAAACTTCCCACCGATTGCTTCAAGGGGAAGAAAGGTGGGACAAGAGAGTTCTCACTTCACTTCTATTGTCTATTGTCCCACCTTTCTTCATTCGATTTTAGCACTCCATTTTGTTCTCGTAGCACAATATTGAATAATCGTCGAAGTCACACCAACCTCTTCTTCACGTTATTGAACGTATATTTTAATCATTGTTCAGCATGAATACTCTTCAGTCAGGATAGTCCACTGATGAATGTGACAGGAACATCGATTATGGAAAGCTTTCATTCAGGGGTGAAACAAAGGTGTCAAAGGTTCGAAGAACCTTCGTTTTTATTTGAAACAAACCTCCGTTTTCAAAAGAAGGCCAACACATGATTTCTTCATGCAAGCAGGCACTGATCTTCCCAGCATACACGTGTACTGTACTGTACTGTACTGTACTGTACTGTACTGTACTGTACTGTACTGTACTGTACTGTACTGTACTGTACTGTACTGTACTGTACTGTACTGTACTGTAGACTGTACTGTAGTCTGTACAGTCAACTACCGGTAGTTGTGTGTCCACTTGACTCCCGTTAGGTGCCACTGCAAGTGAATAGTACTAGTACTAGTAGGTCAAGGACTAGGCTTGAGCGAGTGCCAGTCATGGTCACGGTGTGCAGAAGTAGCCTTGGGCAGTTGGTGACGCAATCAGCACATAGCAAAAGCTATTGGCTTGTTGTGACCGTACAGCGGAATGTTTGTGTACAGTTCTAGTAGGGCACATCATGCACAGTGTTCGCTTCAACGGGAACTGTAAACTGTGAACTGTGAACTGTGAACTGTAAACTGGTACTTCAAGTAAAAGAATCCTTCGCAACGTTCGTTCGTTTTGATGAAGGTTTGTTTTGCAAATTGAGACCTTCGTTCACCCCTACAGTTTCATTACTTTGTTGTAGTGTGGAGATAACAGCAGAAATTTGTTATCTTTATTGCTACTTTAAAAGTATTGTCTCCGCGTCCGATTATTTGCAGGTCCTTGAATAGCTAGTATTTTCATGGGGAAAATGCAACTTCTGCAGGTGTCGAGGTGGGGAGGTGTTCAGGGTGGTTAGATATGCCCGGATATACCATGTTGCCACACGGGTCTTTGAAAGCCGGCGTTTTCAAATTTCCCGACCCAATGATGGACTCAGCGTAATTTTTGAACGAATTTTTCTGGGCGAACTGCACACAAACCTTGCATGTTAGGCACTCCTTTCATGGCACGAACGTCTCACGGCATCTCTATACTCCAACAACACGGTGTTCAAAGGTCATTGTCATACTCAGCATTCCACTTGTCACAAGTGGCCGCACGCCTAGCGCGGAGCTTCTTGCCAAGAGGAGTGCCATCGTTGCCACCTTTTCTCTTCCCTAAATTCGCCATTTCTGTTTGCTGCACACACACACACCTGCGCAGAGCTGGCCAGGGAGTCCCTGATCAGATAAAAAACTGTTTAGATGATTATGTTTGTCTCGGAAAATGGTCGGACAATGGCCGATGTCCGAACGTTATTTTATGGACACCCTCGCTGGGCTGGCTATTGGCCACGGTAGCCACTCGTTTGATTGCCCCATGGTGGTCAGCTGTGGGCTAGCTCTTGGTGGCCCATTTTGTGAGTCTGCTCTCGGCGGGCATTGTGAATCACCGATGATCGGCTTTCTTGGAAACGGTCTATTGTCATACTATTTATTATGTAACCCCTCTGTTTTACTATTTATATACCGGTATACATAATTATATTAACCTTTCCCTGCTGCAGGGGTGTGGAAACAAGCTCTGAAAAATGCCAAAAATTGGGCCAATGGTCAACTCCACAACTTTATAGTCCAGGCAACTGGGTTGTTGAACTTTCGGGTAATGAAGGCCAAGACAATCAATATCACCCCTCCGGACTGGATAAGTTTTCCAAAAAGAGATACAAAGCGGTATACGACATGTACATTTGGTGAATTTGCATAAAAACGGCAAGGTCGGCAATTGCAGTTGAAAAATCAGACGAAAAAAGAGAAGAAAAAAAACACACGACCTAACCAAGCTGGATCCGATCCCCCAACTCTCGTGCAGGATGCAGGGACTGTAACAAATGACCTGGAGTGACCACACACATGAGCACAAGCCTAAAACCAGGTATTTATACCATGACACACAAGTACGTCATCAGAGCCTGGACGTCATTCTTGTAATTACAGCTCGTCCTCCGTTAATACGAGTCCCATCAGTGCATAAACCCAGTTTGTACAAAAGAAACCTCAAGTCCCGGACGAAACATGGTCACTTCAATACAAATGGTGTCGGTAGTACATATTTCATTAGAAACTTAGTACATAACATGTCTCCGTACCTGCAGGCCACCTGCCTCAATAGTACATAATTTGATGGTCTTTTGGCCTTCCAGAGGCACATCGTGTTCTAGTTTCTACTTGTGGACGCAATTAGCTCATAACTCAGAGCTGGACTTTACACTACAAGGTCAGCGCCCAGGACATGCTCTCACGTTGCTCAGCGGCAAAATGCGTGTTTCTCTGAAAAAGGTTCACGTCAACAAAAAATTCCGCCATGCAGGAGAGATCCAGAGTTGCACACTCTTGTTTATCTACTCTTTTGTGACCGTTATATCTGACCGCTATATCATAATTTTTGTGTTATATTGAGGGAATCAAGAATATCTCGCAGCCTAGTCATGGTAGCAAGAAACACGTGAAAAATTGAAAAAGTGAAAAATTCTGGTACACAAGCAAGTTATGTACACTTTCGTTTTGTACATAAACATAAACCCGGTCAATACACTTGTCAAGTCCCAGGGATGATGTATTAACGACGGACGACCTGTACACACCAGCACGAGTACATAAACCAGAGTGTGCAACTCGGAATGGTTCCTGTGGGAGCGTAATTTGCGCAGTGCATCATTTCTCACGGCATGATAAGCCACAGGTACGGAGAAAAGTTGCATAACCAGCCATGATCGTGCAGGTGACTGAGTTTGTCCTGATTTTGGATTTTTGATACAGATAGCCTTTTGAATTTACTTGTCGGTTGATGTACAGAGTCACACAAAAACACCGAAATCCTGAAAGAGAACGTCTAAAATCAAGCAAACTTGGCTGATTTCCGGGCTATGAAACACGAAATTTTGGGGGAGTTGGCGCCGGCCCTGGATATGGACAGTTGCACACTCTGGTATATGTAGTCTTGATACCAGTTGTAAAAAAAACCACCTCTGTTTTTTACTAGTATGTACTTCCTTGGCGCAACCGAAATTGTCGCTCATCTTCACACAATGTATACATGATGAGGTTCTTCATTCGAGTGATCGTTTAAAAAAATCAAGTGGAAGAACATTAGTACTGTACAGAAGAAGTGGTCCGAAAACAAATCTCGAGTCAAACTGTCCTGAAGACATTGGAACTCACCACCGAAGTTAGCTCTCACTTTCGCAGTCACACTCATCACTCATCACTTTCCCATGTTGTACTGTTAATGTCAGGATGCACCTTTTCCAGAGCATTGGGTCAGGCAATTTCACTCGCGAGCAACATTCTCTACTTCTTTGCACGGGTAGGATTGGGCATATTTATGGCCTTGCCTGTCGCACTTTGCATGAGCTGTATGACTGCTGGTGTGATGGCTGTAGGTGTTTTTGCCCCTACTCGACAAATTCCCCTTGAAGGTTGCAAAGAGAACCATCCACACGAATTTCATTTGCTCGATTGGATGCTAGTTCCAGCAAAGTTCGACGATGCTGATTAGCTTCTTCACATTTTCCTTTGTGACGAGGTCTGCGTCGGACTGCAAAGAAGCGAAGAAGGCAAGATCGTTGCAATGTAGGCAAGGGGACTCCGTTGACTGTGTCACCACCGCAATCTTGAAGCCGGCCTTCGCTCCATGGCGAGCCCAGTATTGTTGGTTGACTTTCACGGTGTGGGTTTTAGCCCCCATCGCGCTGGTAGTACAATGTCCCCCCCCCCACCTTTCTGGTTTCCCTGAACCTCGCTTGAACCACTACATCTCCGTTCTCATTGCATCAAAACACCGTCCTTCTTGAGCAGCCCTTTGCGATACTCCGCGGCACTCACGACCACGCTCTCGATCACGTCAGTTTCGCCAGCCACGGTTGCGGTGCGTATGTTCGATTACTGTGCTTTGCGCTGCACTGTGAGCTGCCATAGCCCTACCTTGCCATCCAACTCGTACTGAACGCGTGGAGTTGGAGGAGGAGTGCTTGCTTTCAAAGGTGTCGCTAAGCCTTTCAAACGGCCAACTACTGTAATTCAACAAATTTTCGCCGGTGAAAAACTTTCGCCGATCTCCAAAAAACACTTTTCGCCGCCACTAAACGTTCGCCGTGCGCGTGCAAGAGTCCAAAAAAAGTGATCGATGTTTCATGCACGAATGTAGTACAAAGGTACGCGTACTGTAAAACAACAGATTTTCGCAGGCGATTTAATTTCGCTGATTGGCATTGACAGGCCAAATCAGCGAAATTAAATTGCCAGCGAAAATTTGTTGATTTACAGTACTCAGGCCACACGCTGAGTTTCCCTACTTTAGTAGTTATATATTTCGATCCGTTCTGTGTGTGGATCGCTCTAGACAGATCGTTGTGTTTCGTGTGTGTGTGTGTGTGTGTGTGTGTGTGTGTCCTGTGTGTGTTTGTGCTGTGTGCTGTGTGCTGTGTGCTATGTGTGTGTGTGTGTGTGTGTGTGTGTGTGTGTGTGTGTGTGTGTGTGTGCTGTGTGTGCTGTGTGTGCTGTGTGTGCTGTGTGTGCTGTGTGTGCTGTGTGTGCTGTGTGTGCTGTGTGTGCTGTGTGTGCTGTGTGTGCTGTGTGTGCTGTGTGTGCTGTGTGTGCTGTGTGTGCTGTGTGTGCTGTGTGTGCTGTGTGTGCTGTGTGTGTGTGTGTGTGTGTGTGTGTGTGTGTGTGTGTGTGTGTGTGTGTGTGTGTGTGTGTGTGTGTGTGTGTGTGTGTGTGTGTGTGTGTGTGTGTGTGTGTGTGTGTGTGTGTGTGTGTGTGTGTGTGTGTGTGTGTGTGTGTGTGTGTGTGTGTGTGTGTGTGTGTGTGTGTGTGTGTGTGTGTGTGTGTGTGTGCATGCATGTGTGCACATGTGCATGCGTGTGCGTGCACAAGTTGCTATGTTTAACACAGCTGTTCGCTACCATTGCTCCCGTGATGGGCATATCTGAGTCTGAGTCTGAGTCTGAGTGTGTGTGTGTGTGCAGGGTGTGCGTGATGTGTGCTGTGCTGTGCTATGCTGTGCTGTGTGTGTGTGTGTAAGTGTGTGTGTGTGTAGCATTATAGTAATAATGCAGATTAATATGTGCACGCGGCTGCATCGTGCTACCACTCAAACTATGCTGCTATGATCGCTAGCGCTTTTACTGCATGCTCATGCTTTGCTGCTGGCTACAGTCACGTGCACTGTACATCACGGTAACCATGCTCACATGGTACTCTATGCGTTGTGGCATTCTACGTGTCATTCAACGTGACACTCCGCGTGGCATTCCCTCATGCGCGACGCATGAACGTAGGCGACATGCTTCTCGGGCACTCCATGTGGCATGCTAAAGTCTGCCCAGTTATATATTTCGATCCATTCTGTGTGGATCATTCTTGTCAGATCGTTGTGTTTCGTGTGTGGGTGTGTGCTGTGTTTGTATGTGTATGTGTATGTGTATGTGCGTGTGTGTGTGTGTGTGTGTGTGTGTATGTGTATGTGTATGTGTGTGTGCTGTGTGCGCTGTGCGGTGTGAGTGTGTGTCGGGGGGGGGGGGGGGGCAAAGACCAGGCTAAATAGTGGCAGGCAATGCTTCAGCCTTGCAAGCTGTTGAATGATGCAATCCCAGGACAAGTTGATATGGCTTTTGCTGTAGCATCGCCTCTGGCGATGGGCATCAAAAGGTCAAACGGTGTGTGTGTGTGTGTGTGTGTGTGTGTGTGTGTGTGTGTGTGTGTGTGTGTGTGTGTGTGTGTGTGTGTGTGTGTGTGTGTGTGTGTGTGTGCATGTGTGCGTATCCGTGCATGGGCACACGCGATCATGCGTGCGTGCATGTGAACCTGGGTTTGGTGTTATTTTTGAGGAAATGATGGACTCTGTGTTAAAATAACGGCAGACACAACTTGGTGCTTACCAACTACTGGAACAGTTCTTGTGTGTGTGCTGGTCTTGGTAGTATTACTACACTGTGTCTGTAATGTTGAATTCTTAGTAGCAGTACAGATGAATGGTGGTTGGTCGATATCCACAGTACAGGCAATGTTGATGGACTGGCCAGGTGTGTAGTCACTACCATCTAGAGATGCTGTTCGTATCTTTGTACACACACCACCTGTACACTTGTTGGTATCACTGCCTGTCAATACAGTACCGTCAACCATCAATGTTACTGTGGGTGCTGGGTACCCTTGACCGGTACAGTTGATGTTGTATAGAGTGTGGTTATACACTGACACTGGAGTTTGAAGTACCGGCGTTGTGGGTGGAACTGTACATAACAGAGCAAGAAAGCGTTGGATTACGACCACAGTTAGACACAGGTGCCTAACCGCAGAAAAGTGGACAAGATCTTAACTCACATCCCGCAACGACTTGTTTTGCACGTTTGAATATTCTCCAACGGCTCTAACAACTGGAAAGTCTTCATCGATGGCATGCAAGCTGATAAATAGGATCGAAAATGGCCTGGAACGCCGAGTCAATCAACCAAATGAGATTGCAAGAAAATGGAGTGAAACAAAGTTGGATTGTTCCAAGAAAACATAGGACCTGCTCCAAAATGCTCCAAAACTCTTTTCGTTTTCTACATTAGATAAGATTGTGCTCAACCAGGAACATGTTCAATGGCTGGATGTTAGGTTAGGCCACCCTTTCTTTATTCATTGTTTAACGTCCGCGCCCGCGTACCTTTTTGCCTCCGACCGGAAAAAAAACAAGAAAGCACCAGCGCCCGCGCACGCTAGAAACGCGCGGTCCGACGTTACTGGGTTCTAGCACACGCGCGCCAGGCCAAACTACCACAATCAAGAGTACTAGTAGATCTACAGTACAGAGTACATAAACCGCTGGGGTTCATGTACTCTTGCTACAAATGTAGTATAGCTGCCAGTGCAAATACATGTAGCTAGTGCTGTTGTAGGTCTCGAAACCTTTTTGGAAAGTTGCGTCAAAAAGTGCTTCGCACTGCAAGCTGCACTGTACAGTGCAGGTCGTCCGGCAGTTCGTTGTCCAGTCGTCTTGTTTTTATTTCTGTAGCTGGCGTAACGGCAATGTCGTAGCGAGGGATGGCGGAAGTAGACAATGAAACTGTCCTGGCTTCTGTCAGGATAGTTGAAGGTCGTTCTATTCCCTTGCCATGGACCGTGCGTGAGGTTCGTGAGAGGACGACGTTTGGATCGTTTCTAGAGAAACTGTTTGAGGAAGTACCTGTTATCCGCCCGGGCGGTGAAGTGAAAGTATTCTTGAGCATGACGATGGCGACATCTGAAAGGTCGGAGGTGGGCACAGGTCTGGACGTCGTGCGATGCTGCCAGAGTTTTGGAAAGTTCATCACTGTTGAACTGCCGATTGTTGCGGAAGTTTCCCCTCCTACGCCTGCCGCTGTGAACGCTTTCTCGGTGATGATGGGAGCAGCGAAAGTGTTGAGGGTGCCGGACCTCATGGGCACGGAGGAAACGAGATCGTCCGGAACGTACCGTGGAGATTGGCGGATTTTCAACGATACTGTCGCGCTCCTTGGTGACCTTGAACTTGGCTTCACGAATGGATGTGAAGGAACCAGCGGCGTAAAGTTCGTGGCAGCTGTTGCAAATGCGCTTATCGAAATCTTGCCAAAGGCTCGTGCTGAACGATTGCAACTTCGGGGCTTTCACCTTCCCACGTTGTTTCAACCTCTCGCAGAGAAGGAGCAAAAAGCCAGCTACAACGATCCAGCTTCACACAAGCACGGGAAACTGCCACCACTCTGTCGGGAGACATTGGATCAAATGGTCTCTGCACTGTATGATGCACGTGCATCTCCTTGGTTTTCCCATTCACGTTGGAAGGCCATGGCAGGGGCGATTGATGAGCTGGCATCAGGGCTACACAAGTACAGCCTATACTTGAAGAGCACATCTGAGAAGGTTTCTGCAGGTCACAAAGCAATGGATGAGGTGCGGAGTACAGATGATGGGACGTCGTCCTCAGTAACAACTTATGAGTCAGCTATACGCATAGATCCCACCAAGGTAGCTCGCTATTCGAAACTTGAAGAACGGATGTGCAGCATGACCGAGTATGGGGATCCTGTTGAACTTTCGGAGTTCCTACCATCGAGAGAGAGAAGAAGAGACCGGTGAGTTTGAAACTATGCTTGTTATGTTTGCGCAGCTGCTGTGGATATATTGTAACATGGTTGACTACCAACATGTCCTTACCACGCTTAGTCGACAGTGGCCTCAATGCACTGTCGTTGACTGATTGTCTCTCCTCCCAGTATGTTATGAGGCCACCCATAGTGTGAACATAATTGAGTATGTGCTAGCTAACCTGTTGATTGGTGTGCGTGTGTGTGCTGTCTATTGTGCTCACAGCTATATCTACCTGAAAGAGTTGCAACTTCCATTCTGCACTGAGATTTACCAGTATGACCATGGCAACTTCATGGGCAAGCTGTCTTGGATGTGGAGAGTGCCTGGACTGCCCTGTGATCGTGATGTAAACAAGACAACGCAAATCGTGGCCAGGATTTCAAAGGATATACCAAGTTACCACTCCCGTGCCATGAAGAGAGCCTTCACTGACCGGTATGAACTGATTTCCAAGGCTACTCCGACTGTTCTGGCTGACATGTACCAACATCTAACTGGTGATGCATCTGCTGTGCCTACGCAAGCGAGCAAGAATGTCAGGACCCGGCTCAATGTAGCTTTGGATGCCCAAGACCCAGACCTTGTTGTCGACCTTCGTGCACTCAATGAAGGCAATCCAGAGAAGTATGAAGAGTTTTGGAGAGCCGCGGAACAATTCATCGAGAAGTCGGCACTGAATGCTGTTGACAGTCGGCGCCATGGGAAGGTGTGCCATTTCGCCATGGCCTTCTCGGTGCCAGACTTCATCCAGCAAGTCGCGTCAACGCTAGCTAGTGATGTGCCCATACCAAGTGAGTCATGGGTACGCTTTCAGTTCTGGCCCAAGAACCCATACATCGCAACGGCTGTGCAGCACACCGGTCGCCTGAAGATACGAAATATGGTGCAAGCTCGCCAGCTCAACAGTGAGCATATTGATTCACACTATGCTGCTGCTATATTTAGATACCTCCGTGAGTTGGCTGTGCTTCATCGTGACCATGCATCTCTTCTCTGTGTTGACGACAAGCACAACATCAAGATCGGGGAGCCAGGTTGTCCCGTCGCTGCCGTAGATCGTGGCAAATCTGTCCTTGTGGCAAAAGATGTCGAGTTCAGCGTGTCCGACCATGATTTCACCAAGGCCAAGATCACGCCGTCAGTGAGTCTCTTGTGTGCAACGCCTAGCGCGATAGGCGAGTCGTTCTACAGTGGCCAGGTCACAGTCACGCTGAAGGAGTCCACTTTCTGCCCGTCAAGCCCTCTCCGCCATGCCACAGAAATCGTGCAGTTGCTTCGCAAGCAACAAGTCAATACCGTCCTGAAGCCGATTCTCTTGCTATATTCAGATGGAGGTCCAGACCACCGGGTGACGTACAGCAGTGTGCAGCTGGCGCTCATATGCATCTTTCGCCGCTTGCAGCTGGACTACCTTGTTGCAGCTAGGACCGCTCCAATGCAGTCATTTCGAAACCCAGTTGAACGGATGATGTCTCTCCTGAATCTTGGTCTCCAGAGTGTCGGCTTGATGCGACAATCCATGTCCGATGACAATGAACGATTGTATGCCAAGTGTAGCAGCATGGCTGACACCCGCGAACTCGCAGACAAGCACCCGCAACTGAGAGATGCCCTGCTGCAGTCTGTTGAGCCAGCTAAGACCATGTTGGAAGAGGTGTTCTCAAGGCTCAAATTGCACGATGTGCCAGTTCAGTCGATGAACGCATGTTCGACAGCTGAAATGGAGGACCTATGGACAGAAATGGGCGGCATCGATGACACAGTGTTGCCGGGTTCCACAACGCAGTCAGAACTGAAGAAGGTCAAGCTGCAGGAGTTTATGGCACACTGCTGTACGGCTCGCCACTACTTCTTCGCAATCAAGAAGTGCGGAGCGGTTGAGTGCAACATCTGTGGCCCCCCAACGCTACCACCAGAGGAGTTTGCCAGTCTTTGCCGCTTTCCAGACCCTGTCCTGTCCGGTGACCGCTTTCTGCCATTTGAAGATGTATGGGGCCAGGAGACAACTGAGAAGTTCCGTCCGTCTTTAGCAACAGCCAAGGCTGCGAGTGATACGCAGCTGGATGGAGTCCCGTTCACTGCCAAAGCTGAAACAGTGCGGGCATTCGTGACATGTGGTGAATGCAGCAAGCCACGGTGCGTCCACACACGCAAGAAGCTACAGCCTGACCAGGTGCAGGCACTAGCTCAAGTGAAGGAAGACCACCTCTACATCTGTGGTGCACCATTGGCCCCACCTGAGTCCTGTCTGACGGGCATTGCAGGCATCCGCAGTGGGCTCACCTGCAAGTCCCAAGTCTCCCGGCACTACTACTCTAGTAAGAAGTTCCAGCTTGTATGCTACAGCTGTGGCTCTTCGGACCCTCTGGAGATCCCGGCGGAACTTGCTGAGCGCTGTCAGACCGTTCACCCTGTGTGTGCTGGTTGCAAAGCAGCAGGCACAGCTGAACGAGTTCGTGGGGAACAGAAGGTTGGCCGTGGCAAGAAGCGTAAGCATCCGTAGTAAGCAGACGGTTGCCATTCGTAGTACTTCAGTGAACACATGTCTAGAATAACCGTAGTGGCACAACAAGGGGACTGTGATAGCTATGGTTTAGTGTAGCTTATGAGCCTCTAAAGAGAGAATCATGTTTCATGTTGGCTGGGGTGCTCGTGCCAGCAGTTTCCCGTTCTATATCTGTACTATTGTGTTGAACAATGTTTTTTGTTGGCTTTTAAATATCGTACGGTGTGTGTCCTAGTAAAAATCCAGATGTAATGAATTCATGACATGCTAACTCCATGCTATGTACCTGTTTTGTTGGATTCATCAGGCATGTGCTCCAATGTACCATCAAAGAGTGTTGTTCTATGCCTGCAAGTGCCGTTAGACCCAGAAATATTGTATATATCACATGCTTTACTGGTCAAAATGTTTGATTGGGGTTTCCAGTTTTTGGAATGGGCTTTTGTTTTTTTTCCGCCCTCCCGCGTACCTTTTCGCGAAAAAAAGGACGTTAAACAATGAAATAACAAAGGGTGGCCTTATGAAAGTTTTTTTCTGATCAGTGCAGGATTCCGCTAGGGCGAGGGTCTGGTAATAACAAGCTTTTACTGCAGTTCTGAAAATCCCATTATGTATTGCGGTAAAATCATAATTTTAACTGCGACCGCTGTACTTTCAGGACGTAACATGTTGTAATCGTCACAAGAAAGGCCATTCAATATGCACGCGTATATCGATCCAAGGAAGTGTACTCTTCTTACAACCAGTCCAGATACTCTTCAGTACATGTTTGTATACACAGCTTCATTTAGATATTTCCACAGTGGCAATGAGGACCAAAACGAGGGTTGGGTATACTAGGACCAGAAAAACTTAGTGTTTCATGGAGTAGAAACCTATAGATTATAGAAATACTTGATGTATGGCAGATAAATCATTCAATAGCTGGCGCGAATGTGTACTCTCCCAGTTAGAAAATAGTATTCCCGACCACACTCCTACACCCTTTAGCCAAGCAGTGCAGTGCAGTGCAGTGTGCCCTGATGATAGCATCACTACACAAGTATTCTGAGAAAGAAATTGCTTATCCTGTTATCCCACTGCACCCTATGTGTGGCTTGTTATCCCACTGCACCCTATGTGTGGTTTGTTATCCCACTGCACCCTATGTGTGGTTTGTTAACCCACTGCACCCTATGTGTTGTTTGTTATCCCACTGAACCCTATGTGTGGTATACCTAAAATTAAGTGCCTTGCTGTACCTGGCATCTTTGCTGAAATTAACAAATTTGATGTTACAACGAAATAGCAGTGTCGTACAGTATAGAAGTATGCCACAAACATCCAGCACAAGTACACAGCTAGTTGGTCTGTATTGATACTTCCTACTTACCCACGACATGCAGTTGATAGGTATGTCGTCCTGTCGTGTAACCCGTTATATCCGATGTACATCTGTACAGTCCAGTGTAGCTTGAGTTGAGAGTGGGATGTAGGGTAATGTCCCATCCAGTATTTGTATAATGAATGATACTGTCAGCAAATGGTTGGGTATGCTCACCAACAACCACACCAGTGTTAGTGTTAGTCAGTTGAATAAGTGAACCAGTAACACCATTAGACTCGCATAATGGTAAATACAGTAGTCCAATCTGTGATGTACTTTGTCCACTCAGGTAGTAAGCTGTGTACGCAGTACTGGTACCTAGACGATCAGCCCTCAAGGCAAAAGATTGACCTGCACAGAAAAGCACACACAACAATGCCGATCATTCCAGTCTCTACACACAGAAAGAAGCTACAGCGTTCAGTGAAGCAAATCTGTTGTAGTACGTTATTTTGTGTACGGTGCTGGTGCATGCGCGTGCTGCTGTGGTGTGAAAAGCAGCCTTCGCCTTAAGTTTGTCATGTCCAGTTCACGGCTGTTCACGTGCAGGCACTTATCAATATGGCGTCGTTCGGTGCGATTTATGTAACATTGTGCGAATAGTACAAATACGCGATGAGTTTGCGTTTTTGCAAGAAACTCATGTCGATCCTCGCGTGGTTCCACGATTTGGGATGCGAAACCAAGAGAAAAGTTTTGAAAGCGCTCGAGCGAGATACTCGACTTTTCGGCAATTTGAGAGAGAAAGAGGGTGGAAAGGCGTCCTGGCCTGCCCAGTTAGCTGTCTTTCCGCTTCAAACTTGCTCGAAGTACTCCTGGCAGTCTGGAGATTGATCTCGCCAGTGATTGTCAGCCTCTGCTTGGCGTGCTCGCGTGTACAACATTCAAGTTAGACATTTCGTAATCGTTCAACGCACAATAGGGTAGATATCACAATTTCAAGCTCACTTGGCCGGCTGCTGTCTTCTTCTACAATATCCCACATGCCGACTAAGCAATTTACAGCAGGAAGCAGCATTCTACACTCAACAGCAACTAAAGGGCCACACCATTTTGTCTTCCAAATCAAGAGAAAACAGGCTCCTGACTCGTCGCGCGTATTTAGAAGTTCACGCGTGTATTCTAATGACACTTGGGGAAGACAACCAGAGGATAGTCCTCTACCTGGGAAAAAATCGATCTAAGCTGGGAAAAAATCGGGAAGGGCTTCTCGGAGCCGAGTTTGTCAGCGACGACACAAGGAGTATTCCAGAACGAAGCCAAAGTCGCACGACACAGAACAAATGTTTCTTGAAGGAAAGGCAGTCATGTGAGGTACGAGCGGAAAGCTTGAAACAAGACGCAGATGATCGGCGTGTTCCCCGGGCTGTCCGGGCTGACTAGTCTCCAAAATCCAGGGGAAACCATGGCCTACTCGTGTTCTGACGATTTGAAAATTCAAATTTTCTTGCCATTGAAGCCCAATCGAGACTTTCGGCGGCCATATTGTTAAGTGGCGTGAAATCGCACAAAAAACAGCCGTGAGTTGTGTTTCTTCGTCGTGTCAATACGTCTTTATAAATCTAGTAATCTTGTCGTCCATTGTATATGTGTGGAGATGGCACGTGGTTGGGAGCAGGTGGAGAAAGTCCACATACAGTCAACTTTGCTTATAACGACACTCGGCGGGCATCAGAAAAGTGCCCCTATTCGCGAAGTGTCGTTATGCCCGAAGTCTCATTATATGTGTCACAGTGGAATGGGACTTTGCTCTGGGCAAGACAATTATGTCGTTAATCGCGAATTGTCGTTTTATCCGCAGCCGTTATTCGCAAATTGTCGTTATATCCGCAGTCGTTATCCGCGAATTGTCATATTATCCGCAGTCGTTATTAGCCAAGTTGACTATACAACATTGGTGGCGGTGGTGGTGGAACTCTTGTATACTGCAACTTCTGGATTCGTGTTGCGTGGCCTTCGCTCCCAGTTTCCGTTGTCATCGGTGCGAGCTCGCGCGCGCACGTGCGTGCGTGCGTGTGTGTGTGGTGTGGGTGGTGTGTAGCGTGTGTGACGTGTGGCGTGTGTGACGTGTGTGGTGTGTGTGGTGTGTGTGTGTGGTGTGTGTGTGGTGTGTGTGGCGTGTGTGTGGTGTTCGTGGTGTATGTGGTGTGCGTGGTGTGTGTGTGTGTGTGTGTGTGTGTGTGTGTGTGTGTGTGTGTGTGCCAGCTGGTTCGGTTATGCCTGATTGTGTTGGGCCTGTTGCCGAGCCAATGGACTCGGCTGCTTGAAGGTGTAATGTTGTATCTGCCACCTTTGTTGGTTCCAGGGTTCATATACTTTCTATTTGAAGTATACCTGTTAACCATGAACTGCTTCTGGCTAGATTAACTCTTGTGTAATCAATGGTGCTAGTGAAGCTTTTATCAGATCCACTCTGATTTACCCACCCACACTACAGTCCATTTCAAAACTATAGACGCGGCGTAGTGTTTTTGAAATATCTCAAATTTGGCTGGAACGTTTTGAGAATAGTTTTCGGAATATTGCTCAGGTCCACTCCACAATTACTCTCATAATAGTTTCTAAACGATTGGATAACAGACGCCCAATTTGGAAAAATCTATGCACAAGGTGATCACAGATTTGATGTGGTATAGATGCTGGCATAACGGTTTTTGCCTATGTACGCGTCTATAGTTTTGAAATGGACTGTAGTAGCAAGTATTACCTTCACTGGGGGCAGGGGTAACTGTAGTTGGATCCAAGGACGGATACCCTGATGCTGTCAATCCTCTTTTTGCACCCTGTCCTCACCCACTTACTGAGGTGTGGTGAGCCCATAAGTGAGATCATTTTCAAGTCCACCAAGAGTTTTGGGGATTTCAGGGGGTGTCGGCTGTTGGGCGGTTCAATAGCCAATTGAGTCATCTTTCCAAGATTCCTTTTGAGTCTCCCTCCCCTCTCCCGGGAGACACACGTGACCAGTTTGGCAGTGAGCAACAAGTAAGTACAAGTACAAGTGTGTGTGTGTGTGTATGTGTGTGTGTGTGTGTGTGTGTGTGCGTGTGCGTGTGTGTGTGCGTGTGTGTGTGTGTGTGTGTGTGTGTGTGTGAGTGCGTGTGAGTGAGTGTGTAAATTTGTATTTGAATTTATGGATTCTCCACAGGCCTTAGCCTAAATCGAGGGAGTCTCCGTCAACAGCTTATGAAGAAGAAGCTGAAGAGAGAATTAAAAATAACTTTGCTTGCGATAAGCAAACTGGCTGTCTGGCAATAGCTGGTGTGTCTCCAGATAGGCAGTGAGCTGTCTCTTACCCATTATCTCCAGAATACGGGAGATAATGGGGAGGAGAGACACTGGACGATAGTTCTGGGGCAGGGTTGGGTCGCCACTCTTAAATAGGGGACTGACATGTGACACTTGAAGGTTGGCGGAACCTGTCCAGTTCTAAGAGACAAATTGATAATGCTGGTGAGATTCGGTGCAAGCACAGAGGCATGTTGCTTGAGCAGGAAACCGGGGAATCCCATCACTGCCCGTGGCTTTGCTTGCAACCACTGATTTCAGGCATGACTCGACATCTGTCACTGTTACGGGCTGGAATACATTTAAGCTGCATTGGAGGCTTGGGCCCAACGCCAGCTGGAGATGGGGTGGCCGTGTTGGATCATTCACTACTCCGCCAAACACTCCACTTAGCTCTGGCAAAGGCGCTTGAGGGATTTGCGATTTCTTCCTTCCGCCGGTGACAGTATTTAGTACCCTCCAGAGTTTCCTCTGGTTGGTAGTTTGGCATTTGGTGGTAAATTACTGGCTGCGCAGTTTCCTGTCAAGCTTCCTAGCCACAGAACGAGCGGATTTATGTTCCTCACGTAATCTTGCATTACCCTGGTCCCGCATCAACTTCCGGTGTAAGCCATTACGCTTCCGTACAGCCACAACTAGTTCATTTGTCAGCCATGGGCATGGGAGACGTCGATGAGCACGCTGAGCAACTTGAGGCGCATGGTGGTCTAATGGTGATAGAAGAGACTCAGTGAAAGATGTAATCATGTTCTCCAAGTTGCCATTGTCAGGAAATGCCTGCTGATTGCGCTGGACATCCTTGCTGAAGCGGTCCCAGTCAACTTTCCCTTGCTCTTGTTGGTCGCGTTATGGCCGACTGCCTTCGCTGCCACCATTGAATGCGTTGATCCGGATTTATTAACGATCTCCGTCAGGGAGGAAACTAAACTGGCAAGGTGGTCGACAAGACTACGCTCCCTTTCCATTTCTTCGAGGATTTTGAAAAAATGACTTGCACATGCTGAGCAAGACTGACGGAAAGAATCTCTGCGCACGGGGTCTGGAACACCAAACTGATCATCCACTGTGATATCACAACATACATTTGTGTCCATCGTGCTAAGCCAGCCCCTGAGGGGCAAAACTGCAAGATTTACTGAATACAAGCGGAGCCCAAAAATGGCAAACCGCCCCCTGCAGCTACTATGTCCCTGTGTGTGTATGTGTGTGCATGTGTGTGTGTGTGCATGTGTCTTTTTGTCGATTCAAGACAAGATTGCACCTCAGCGGTTGGAGTAGTTGGGGCATGTGGCGCGGATGCCGGACAACCGCATCCCGAAACAGGTACTGTTTGGCTCCTTCTTGCAGCGTCGCCCAGCACATGGCCCACGCCGCAGATGGAAGGACTGTGCTGTCCGGGATCTACGTGCCCGTGGCGTAGAGGCATCATGGTATGATGTTGCATGTGAGTCCCGCTCGGAGTGGCGCAGCACCTACCAAGAGTCTGACAATGCGCCTGAGCCTCCGCCCCGAGTGGTATGTACGGTATGCGAACGGGATTTTGCACGGAAAGGAGACATGGCTCGGCATAAGTGTCTGGAGGAGTGTGCGCGGCCTGTGTCTGAGCAGCGGGGCGCCAGTCAGGGCGGGCGGTGTGGGCAGTGGCTGAGAAGCCACGGTGGCTTGGTCCGGCATGTGTGTGCCTCAACGGTGGATGCCACAGTGCCACCTGGAGCGACCGGAACGTCGGCACCGGAGGAGGGATGTTGTGCCGCGCATTGTGACAGGTGTGGTCGCTGCTTTCGCGGTGTCCGGGGACGGGGCAGGCATCGCTGTTCAAGGGTGGCG